ATTTGATTGATTTTGTTAACTTATAACTTAACTTATGAGGCAATATACCTCACCTCTAGCGAGTGGCCCAGCCCTTTGCATGTTTTTCTGTATGTGGCCCTTGGAGAAAACTGTTTGGACACCCCTGGCTTAGAGGGAAGTGTTTAAAGGGAAGGAAATAAGCAGAAAACAAATCTCACTTCTTTAACCCTAATATAAATATAAATCTGTATTGAAGCACTTTGAAAAAATAAATCACACTAGCACATTGCAAGCATATCACGAAGAACTTCCCTTGATTTGTCGGGTTGTCGCTGTTAAAGATTGCATACAAAGAGGGGGGTGGACCAGTGGGATTGCTATGGCTTGAATACTTCCTGAGCAGCGTGCCAGTCATCACGATGCCAGTCAGTGTGATGGTGAGCCTCAGGGATTACTGCAGACAGACAGCTCAGTAAGACAACTGATTAAATAGTAGTGAGAAGAGAGAAAATGTTTAATTCAGCCATATTTAGTATTCATGGGATGGACAGCCATACAAGAGTTCACCTTGAGGGGTCATCAGGGGAGAAGGTCCAGAATCCCAAAGAGCTGCCAGGCCAAGTTTTCCCACAGCACTTTGAAACACAGCTGATTGTGTTTTTAATTGCTCTGATTATCAAGTTTACTTTGGCAGAATTGAAAATGGTAATGCAACACATAGCGAATTAAGAGACTGATATGCTCTGAAAGGGAGTTCTGCTGTGCAGCTCCTGTGAGATTGTGATAGATTTATCAGCAGACTTCAATGAAATAATGCTTTTCTCAAACGTTGGATCCACTGCTTTAAAATATTAAAGTTGTATGCATATGTGCATGCTTTTGGCATAACATAGAGTATGTTACAAAACTAAAGGGAAAGAGTGTGACCCTTTATTTCAAGCTTTACGCAGTTATATTTTATTTTAAATATAATTGACGGCTTATGTCACCACAATTACAATATCTGCTACGAATAACTTGTGGAGGAGTAGAGTGCAAATGTGCAACATCTAAAGACAGATGATTAATGCTTATCCAGGAGTCTCAACTGCCCATTGTTTGTCTTATTTGCAACAGGGTCAAAGAAGAATTATTATTGCTCACGTTGGCTACAAAACAATGTGGGATGAAGCCACAGCGGTGTGCAGAATTCTAAGCCTACGTTTCGGAAATTCAAATTCTCAAAACCTTCGGCTCAGTGTTTGCAGCTTCAAGTAATTCAAAACAATACTATTTATATTAGCTTGGCTCTGTGAAAGAGTGCCAGCTATGGAGACATGATGAAATCCCTCTGTTGAAATACCTCACCATGACGTTCAAAACTAATTCAATTATATGCATCACCAGTTCAATAGACCTACAGAATCGGGTTATTGTCTGAAATGATGAGAAAAGAAAATACCAGTAAATCCTTTGTGAATGAAGTTTAGTGTAAAAATTATTTCACAAAGAGTTGCCAAAATGGGCCTCAAGAACAAGCGTTATGATTTCTGCAGTCATTTACCAAGATGTTACTTTCTATGCATCAACCACAGAGCTTTTGGGTCTCCAAAGGTAGCCCTATATCATTAAGCCTTCATAAGCATAATACAAATATTTGATACATGATTTATATCAAACTTGAATGTAGTTTCAAGCAGATATATAAGTGTTTGTTATTAAACACTTACATAGCTGCTTCCCCTACTGGGTTATACACCATGTATTCAATGTTTGTGCTTCGTCATACTAAATGAGGCAAAACCAATTAAAGTGTCACCAACATGTTGAAGGGTTAAGAATGGGAACACACAGAACAAAAGGTTCACAGCAAATTGGAAACTATTTTAGTTGTTATGTCTCATCCACATGTGCAGTTTTCCTTTATTGCTGCATGTAATTGTATAAGAACGAACTATACATCATACACTGCTCTAGAGGAGGAAACATCCCATAAATAGACATTATAATTGCTTATCATACTGTTTAGGCTGGCTCATTTAATCAAGGCAACATTTGTAGGTTTTGATCGATCGATCGACCATCTCATTGCATCAAACATGGGGTGAGTATACATCTGTGGAAAGTCAATAAGGGTGATGAGAACCAGGAGAAATGATGTCAGTGGGAAAACGTCTCAGTTGATTGATTCAGAAGCTGATGTCATTTTTCTCACTCTTTTCATGATTCTGCTCCTCAATGACACCAGAGCAATCCAACCAGTGATAAAAGTATACAATGGTATCACCAACAGTCTTAGCTATTTAAATACAAGGGTGTTTCCCACTTTCGTTTAATGTAAATATATTTATACGCCACAGAACAAATTAACAATGAAAGGCTGTGATGCAGCACCGCCTTGCATCCTTTGTCCCTGCAGCTTTGCGATTATGACGTTGGAGTCGCAGAGACCCCTGATCAGAGGAAACGAAAAGCACTCAAGAGATTTCCAGATACTCTGAGCTAAACCTTGATCTGCAGAGTGGTCTTGGCATACTTCCATTAAACTATCAATGAAACTACTATATACAGGGTCGTCTGTTAGTTGAAGGACTGTGAAAACTCCATTCCTTGGGCTCTGTACAGAAAGGAAATAATGACTTAGGTTAGAGTATCGACTCAGTGGAATGTATACAGAGTAACTCTTAGCCTTTTCAGGTCTCAATTTTACTATCTAGTCACATTTGTATGTTGTTCGCTGTGTGGAATAGAGTCCCTGCTTTCTTTCCCTTAAGGTTAATATTTTATTTCATAAATGTGCCAAATGTTTGCTATTGATTGCACTGTTTCAGATTCAGATCAATATATTGACATGAGGATACAATAAAGTCTACTCACTAATAAATATAAGACTATATGATTTACAAAAAACTTTAATTTACATTGAGACTGGGACAGAATAAACAAAAAACAGTCAATTGACTTTAAAGAACAATATGGTAATGTCAACTGTTACATAATTATACCTTTTTTTTTTATCTGACCTTTTTAAAATCTTTAAACTCATCTGTGCATGGAATAAAACGAATTAAACAGTGGGGAGTTAAAACAATTCTGTCTTTATTAAAATAACTTGAACAACTTATTTCTTACAAAAGGTTGCCCTTCTTACTCCATTGGTCATTGCTTTATCAAGGCTATTATAAAACGATGTAAATCATTACATTTAATCATGACGGTTGATATTTTAATGTAGAAAGGTGTACACTTGTTTCATGCCAGCTCATTTAATGAAATTCCGACTGATGTCCAGCTAATCTAAACTCTACTGACGAGACAAGAGATGCTCAGCAATATTATGGCAGAAATACTGCTTGATTAACAATGTGTTAATGCATTTGAAGTATCCATCAAATTATTTGATACATTTGTGTGTCAATTTGATTTGTTTTAAGCCTTTACTGCTGGTGTTTGACATTTCTTGTTTAATATTTTGATATTTTAGTCTTTGGAATGTTAAGTAGATGTTCTTTTTTCACAACCATACTAAAGTGACGGATGTGTCAGCAGAGAGAGACACCTTCTCTATGCTGAATGTGTTATTAACCAAGTTGAAATAAACACAACATAAATTGTGTTCATTTTATCAGGAGCTAGGACTGTTCAGTGAAGACCATAAAGTACACTTATGATAAGGTATGGTTTGACCGATTTTGTTTCGAGGGCTAACTGTAGAAATACTAATCCTGGGGGACAAGCTGGAGCTGTGGACTCACCTGGGAGTTCAGCTATCCTCGATAAACAAACAAACAGAAGCTCTGATGAATCTTCTGAAGAAGTCTGTGCGAGTGGAAGTGAGAGGGCAAAGCAAAACTGTAACATCAGAAGGAGCAGGACTACTGACCAGCATTTCTCAGGAGAAAAAGAGGCCTGGGACTGAAATTAGAATGACCAACCCATCCTCATGGCCAAACACTGGATCTGGTATCTATTCATCAGTTACAAACTATTGAATAACACTTTTAAAAAGCTGAGTAATTATAAGAAATATGCACAAATGAGATGTTGTGAAAGTCCACAGTCCTTTTGCATTATACAATACATATTCATACTTTTAAAATAATCATTATTGTTCTATTGCATCATTTGAGATAAAAACTGGTCTTTTGGGATCCAGATTGTTTATTGTTTAAGGTTTACATATGTTAACATCCATAAACTACAGGTAACATCTAAAGCCATGTTTCCCAACTTTGATAATATAATGCTGCCATCTGCTGGGCATTGTAGACCCAGCATGTTTGAAAATAAGTTAAATCCAGTGCCTTTAACTACTGAACTAGCAGTCCAATCTGGATTTCCTGATATCATGCAACTCCATGTTGAGCTGAACTGCACCAGGTCATCTAAGAGTGATCTGGTACGACAGCCCGGATAACAAAAAGGCATAACTAAATAGGAAAACGGATTTTCACATGTCATCTGTTAATTTTTAACAAAGCCTGAACTCTGAAATGTTCCCTTAGGGTTCAAACTCCTATGAGTTACAAGTCTTCTGATAATGGATACGTGTATGTAGAAGGTATGAACTGATGATGGACTTTAAAAGAACAGTACACGAGTGCTTCCTGTCAGGAGATAAACTCACCTAAAAGTAACCTGTAAATTATGATAATCTTCCATTGAATCGCACAAGAACAAAATTCACATCAATGTTTATCTTGGTCAGGGAGCTCAAAATTACATTCATGTTTAATAACCATGCCTTTTAATTACTGGAGTGTAATCCATTATTATGCACTATTTATCTAAGAACGAATCATTTAAAGACAATTGGAGAGAGATTTTCCACGGTTATTTTATCTATAATTCATAGGAGTAAAATCAACAGATTTCATAAGCAGATATCTAGCATATTGTTGACTATGTTGTCCAATTATTAATGTGGTATCTAGACCTGCAAATCCTATAATAGCCTGGCAGTAATACACAGTGGTACCTTTTGAGAAAAGAAACACCCAGGGCAAGGTGTGATCTTTGCATGGTGTATTAAAATTGCAAATATATCTTGGGTCCTCGAGTAAACTTTCAGATAAACATCTTTTTATTGCTTCTTTTTGAAAAACATGCCTAACAGCTTAAAGTAAGTTTTAGTTTCTCAACATTGCAGAAATGTTGTTCAAATCAGTTTTTTCAGGCACATGTGACCACATGCTCAGTCCCTGTGTGTGCTTATTGTACTGTATGTGAAACAGTTATGAATCCTTTTTACATTTTTAGTAAATACACATTTCAAAAGAAGTGACTTTCGGCAGGCACTTGTCAAATTCTTAGGAATGTTCGTTCTTTGGGTCCAGCAATCACCTCCCTTCAATGCCAAAATACATCTGAAATATTTCACAACAGCCTTTCTCATTTAAGAACTGGTAGAGCTGCCCAAGGTCCATGTGATTACCTCTGTTCCCATGGGGGTCAAACATTGCCTCTTCAAAGCCTGTGAATTTGCGCCGGGAGTCTATACTTTCTACAGTCCTGTTGTCCCCGCACTGACCATCAAGGGGAAAATCCTCTCTGTGTCGAATCATGATCTTCTTCCATGTCAGAACCTTCACTCTGTGAAATGGGAAAAAGTTTGGAAAATCAATAAACCTTGGACCTCAGCAGGCATCTGGCTGTGACATCAGCAGCTAAAAATAACAGTATTCATGATACCTGGACCAGAACTCCTCGCAGGCAGAATGAAGACCTTCCACACACACAATACCAGGTTTCCCAGGCATGCTAAATCCTGACAGGCCCAGCTCCTTGGACCACTCCAAGATGTTCTTCCTCTTCGTCTTGTTGTAGATGTGATGACTGTAAATCCACAGACGGCTGAACGTCTCCTGTGGCCGTGGAGAGGAAGACTCTTTCTTAGGAGTCGGTGCTGCTGATAAGCTCTTGTTAATGAAAAGCTGCAGGTTGTCTTTCACCCATTCCACAGCGGAGAGCACACACACTTCCCCCAGGCAGTTTTCCATGAGATACGCATTGAGATCTGTGTGGAGCTGCGTCTGCTGGGTCCTGCTGAGATCTGCACACCTAGAGCTAGAATAAAACATGCTGTGAGAAGGATTCAAAGAACATTCAATGCCACATAGAGCTGGAAGTTTCCTACCTTGGGAGCAAAAATGACTAAAGGAAATCTTGAAGAAGCGAAGATTTGCCCTACAACATAGCACAAAATAACATACCTTTAGGAGTTTGATTTACAAACAAATACGAATGACCATTCCCACATATTTTCAAATATTTTTTGTTAGTTAGTTGAAGTCAACTAAAAAGATGTGTTTACTGCCTATTGCAGTATATTTCACTGTGATGTACATATGTATAACCTGTTCTCTATAATGATTCAAAAATATTAAGAATATTAGATTTGACAAATTGTGTCACTGGCCTTTGTTGTTTTACTGGCCACCTAAACAGGCACAGGAGGATAAACCACATTTCCCACATAAGCTGTGATGCCCACCATTAACCAATAGAGATTGATGCGTGTTATACTACCTCTTTAGCAGCTTGTATTAAGATGTTGTCAAATTAGACAATATGAATTAATGTTACTGGTCAAAATAAAGTGAAATCTATAAAGTGAACACATACAGCGCACAGCTAAATGCAGATTTCTTAGGCTCGAATAAAGCCATACCAGGAGAAAAAGAACCCCTTGTTTTTCTGACACAGTCACATAACCCTTTCCTTTGTGTTGTTAGTCTGTTGCCAATCTATGTCATTTTTCATCATTTCATTTTCACATTAGACCACATTTATAAACTCTTGTCCTTTGATTTGTTTCTTGGCTCTTGAACATAGTTTGTTGTTGTTTTACAATATTATGTTTCCCTTACTAGCAATTGCATGCACATTTGAAAAGTGTTATAAACAAAGACAATTTGTGATTTTGTTTATGAAAACTCCATCACCCTACCATATAATAAAAGTGGATAGTATTGGCTTACCGGAGTGTTATTTCTGGTAACACACTGGGATATTCGGATGGATAAGTACAGGATAGAATTACATCAGTCTAAGTGGATCAAAATGAGAAAATAATAATGTTTTAAGCACATATTCAAATCACTAAGACATACTATGACAGACAGCCGGTTGTTTTGTTACCCTCTCCATGCTTGCAGTGTCCAGCTTCTGTTTGATGAGAAAGTGGGGTCTGGAGGGAGGGGGGCAGTCTGTTGAAGCTGAACCCTCCACATAGTCCCTGAGCTCGGCTAGTGCTAGCTGGTCTGTGATCTCCAGCTCCTCCCGGGTGGGAAACATGCTGGTCAGCAGCTCGATCTCTGCCAGCTGAGACTCAGCCCACTCCAAGTAAGACATACTGATAAAGGCAAGCTACCGCGTCGATCTTCACTACTGTCAGTGGCGGCCGGTCCATAGGGGCGCTAGGGGCGCCGCCCCACCTCTTCCCATATTGAAAAAAATAAAAATAAATAATAATTAAAATTAAAATAAAAAAAAAAAAATATGTTTAAAAAAATATATATGTTTTTATTTTTATTTTTAATGAACAAGGTAAATATTATATAATTGGTATCAGTAAAATGTATAATCTACAATAAAATCTCGTTTAAAATTGTGTTACGATGTCTAAAGTTACTGATAAATCACATGTTTCCTGCCTGGCCTTGCCCATGCACCTTCTCTCGTCTGGGCGCTAAGAGAGGAGCCTTCAACCAGTGCAGCAGCAGCCACCAGCAGCTGACTGTTGCTATCTGTAACGTGTAAACTATGCCGCGAAAATATAATTTCAGCCAATCAGCGTCGTCAAAGATGACGGTCACCGGGCGCCAATGTCAGCGCCCAGTGCAGTCTGTGAGTAGTTTGGACAGTGACTCGTATCCGGTTGACGCAGTAGTTGATGAGGATGGCTTCGTGTGCAGGTGGAGTCTCCGGACCTCGGTCCGCGCCTAATTCTGTTCAAGAGCTAATCTCCAATCCTTTCGAAAGGAGAAGTTTGGCAGATAAATTGTTGCTTAAAGACCTTGCACCGGACCAACCCGATTTGAATATATCGCAGCAATCTCGTGAAAAAGACAACATTTATACACGAGGCTTCACAAGTAGCTGGTACACAAGAAAGGCTTGGCTAGCTGGATGCAAACAGGTAAATGCTGTCTTTTGTTTCCCATGCTTGGATATCACTTTATATGTAGAGAGGAGGTTTCCCATGGTTGTTAGAAGTTTATTAATAAGTGGGCATTTATCACAGAAGTGATTGTTCTGTCTCCACGTTTGTTGCATTGTCTGTGATGTATTTTCCAACGGTTATAGCTCCTGTTCTGTCCCAGCAACACTACACGGTTTGCAGCTCCACCACATTTTTGGTTTATCTTCGGTGTCGCTTAAAATCTGCTTCCCATCGGACTAAAACCTCCACGTAATCTGAAGACAGATACTTGAAGTTATTTAAACCTTTTGCAAACTTTATGTTCTTTCTTGCTCTAGCCTTGCCAGTTACATTGTACATAACACATATATTATCATTATGCTAACTGGTTGTTCGTGTTAGACGATGTAACTTTTTCATTTCTGAGTTATTGCTATATGTAAATAAGCCTGTTTGTAAATAATCCTCAGAGAAACAAAGAAAAAACACAATTTATGACATTTTGTGCTGTGGTTATTTTTTTTAAATTGCATTTATTCACAGTTCAGTTTGAAATGCTGTAGTGACTTGTATTGAACCACTTAAATATTTATAATTAATGCTACTGAAAAGATGCTATTAATTTTATATCTCACATGCAGTTCACTGTAAAGCTACTTGGTGAAGGTGTTTTAAGAAAGAAAAAAACAGACCAGTTCTGAGAACACAAATTCCTGGTAAAGTAGTAGATGTTCAGGTTGATAAATAATATTTTCCACACTGAAGATTATGGAGGTATTGATCAGTCTTCTCATATTTTTAAGCCTCGATTTCTCCTTTCCCCCCCCCTCTAACATCACCAGAAGTCATCATTTAAGGGGTCATTTCTCGAAAAAAAATTCCGGGGGGAAACCCTCCGGGTAGGTCACTTACGGTACGTCAAGAGCCCCACCAAAAAAAAAGACCACCGGCCGCCACTGACTACTGTTATACATAAACAATCACTGTATAATAACAGCTCTCTGTCCCAGCATTAAAATATAGTTTGCTGTGTGTCCTGTCAAGCGTTGAACATCAATACAACATATGTCAGCTGTATAGGAGTTGAATAAGCTAGTTACACACTGTACAACTTCAGTAATGCATGTGCTGGTGCTGTGGCCAGAGTGTCTGTACCGCTAGTGCATGAGCGCCGGTAGTTGTTTTACGTCGGACTTTTTAAAGCGACGCACACAGGAAACACACGTAACGAGCAGCCGAACAGCGGTATTATCACATTTTTTAGTCCCGTTGTCTGCATGTGTCAGCTGGCATTTTCTGCCAAATCAGCGGAGCATTTTTTTCGCATTTTTTAAACTTTATAACATTAGACCCCTTTATTTTCAAACCGTAGACTTCCATCGTACGGCTGTCATTAGTAAACCAAACGTAGCCTACTCTGTCCGGATGAGATATTTAACCCACACAAAGTAAACGAAACTGAAAACCGAAGGTTTTCATTAGGCTCTTTTGTGACAGTAAGTTGGCTGGAACCTAATTACTGACCCTGGTCATTTATATAAATGTAACATTGTTTGCTTCTGGCTGTGGATACACTGGCTGACAGCTGGGTCTGATTTCCATTCATTTCTTATTGTGCTTAGGTGAAAATGGGAAAGAAAAGGGGGAAGGACAAAAGCTCCAGAGAGGAAGATGACTTTGAGATTACAGGTAAATAATATCATCATCATGACATAAATGTAATGTAACATATGATAACCTGCAGGAGGCTGGGGGTAACCTTCCCACATTGTGTGTGTTTGTATCTTAATAGTTCCATCCTGTAGGCACATTAAGAAGGGATCAGACCAAACTCTTCTAAAGAAACTCTCTGGGAGTGGTGATTGGACAAGTTGCCAGGATTGTAAGCCTGAAGAAAATGAAGAAAACAAAGAAAACATCAGCACCACTGTGCCACCGGAATCTGAAGAGGAAAAAGAGATGGAACCCATGTGGATGTGCTTGAAATGTGGCCATAGAGTGAGTTTAACATTTAACTTGTGAAAGTGTATGAAGTGACTTTTTGCTAAAGATGCCTACTTTCTAACAGGGATGTGGACGGAACTCTGAAAATCAGCATGCCATCAAACATTATGAGACTCCTCGTTCCGAACCACATTGTCTGGTGATCAGTTTGGACAACTGGAGTGTGTGGTGAGTATTTTGCAGTGGTGCTGTCAAAAGAAAAAAGTATGTAATAAAACTTACTTTTTATATATCATGTGTTGCCAAACTTGCAGGTGTTACATATGTGATGATGAAGTCCAGTACTCCAGAACGGGACATTTGGCTCAGCTGTTGACCAACTTAAAAAAGCAAACCTCTGCAGATCCCATAAAGAGACCACAGAAGAGTAGGTCCCGTTGGAAAATTGAACATTTTTATGGACAAACTGTATTATTGGAATTACATTTGTATAACAATTTCCACCATGCCTTGATTGGTTATTTAGGAGTGAAGGAAGAAGCCTGCTTGTTGGAAGTTGAACAGAAGACAGAGACTGTAAAAGCAGAGGAAAAAGAGGACAAAGAGAACGAAGACAACAAAGAGAACAAGGACCACCCAAAGAAAAACGCCAAGAAAGAGAGTGTTGTGAAATCACAAAAGTCTGGCACATCTGAAGACATTGGTGGTATTTCAGTAAGAGGGCTGAGCAACCTTGGAAACACATGTTTCTTTAATTCAGTTATTCAGGTATGATTCACTTTATAGCAGTTAAAATGGGGTAGTCATAAATGCTATGTCATATTTAACTGCTGTGATCTTCTTTTCCAGAATCTTTCTCAAACACATCTCTTAAGACAGACTCTCAACAAAATGACGGAAGAGAAAATAGAACTTAACATCCAACCTGTTGCGTCCTCTGATCTGGTATGTAGCCATCATTCTTTAAATGTTTTACTATAAATATGGTCAATTTTTTCCTCTATAATATACAAGGTTTTTTACTTAACTACTTGTTTTAAATGTGATTGCAGGAGCCTCTCGTATTGCATTTAGATCGGCCCGGACCCCTGACTATGGCTATGTGTCAACTACTCAATGAGATCCAGGAATCCAAGAAGGGTGTGGTAACACCGCGGGAGTTGTTCTCACAAGTTTGTAAAAAGTAAGTGCGGCTAGCTTGTTTGCTTAAAATGTACTTACTAGCATCACGGCATTAATTGTTGTTCATTATCTCGTCTTCTCTATGCAGGGCTGCCAGGTTCAAAGGTTTTCAGCAGCAAGACAGCCAGGAGCTGCTGCGCTACCTTCTGGATGGGATGCGAGCTGAGGAGACCAAAGTATGTATTCAGTTTTATAAATTTCTCGCTTTATCAATAAATCAATTAAAATACATTATAAATCCCAAGGGGGACTTAGGTTTCGTGACAGTTGCACCATATTAGAATACAATAAATAAATAAATATTGATAAAAACATAGGTTGAAGTAAAAATAAACCCTACAAGCACTACTCACTGTTGATCATAAGGTCATTGTTATCGTTTTAAAGTTTGTGTTTTTCCCTGCAGAGAGTGAGCACAGGGATCATGGAGGCATTGAAAGGATCTAAAAAAAGTACAGATGGAGAGCAGCTGAAAACACTAGTTAAAGGTAAGTAACTGGGCTTTAAATTAAATGTGAGCAAACAATACTTTTTTGCATCCTACATTAATATACAATCTTAGTCCACCTATGGTTAGATGTAGTCCGTTGACATTTTTTTTAATTTCAGAGTACGAGAAAAACGGATTTCCAAAAAACGTTGTCGACCACGTTTTTGGTGGGGAAACGACCAGCACTATAATGTGTCAGCAATGCAAAACGGTATGCATTATGGATTTGTTTTAAACTGACAGATAACCTGTTGGTGTCATGTCAATGTCAAGCTTAATGGCTACTACTTTGCACTTACAGGTGTCTGTAGTCACAGAGATGTTTTTGGATCTTTCCCTTCCTGTCTCTGATGAGGTAAATCCCTTCAAATTCTTTCTTTAAAGGTTTTGCAATTATTTGTTCGTTTTTATATATGTGTGTTACTCTCTTGTTGCTAATTCTTACAGGCATACAGGAAGAAGAAACAGAAAAAAGAAGTTCAGAGCACCAGTGAATCGAGTCAGGATGGCAGAAACAGCCCTGCTTTGACTAACGGGAATGATGACATTCCCGAGGGGTCCGGCAGCAAGTACCAGCAGAAAAAAGCCAAGAAGCAGGCAAAGAAGCAGGCAAAGGTAACTCACTACATGTTTTTCCTTTTGCTTAATTCATCAGTGTGCAGAATAAATGAATAAATAGGCTGTAACGTTCCCTTATCTTGGCTTACAGCAACAGAAGAGGCAGACGAAGCTTGACGGCAGAGTCACTTTGGACTGTCTCTCATCTCCGAGCCAAACGGAGAGCGAACCGACTGATCCAGGTGCAGAGGACGGGGAAAACGCTGACAATGGAACAAATGAGGAAGCCACACTAATTGGAGAAACTCCTGCACAAATCAGCGTGTCTGAAGAGGACCAGAAAACCCTCGAAACGGATCAGGATGAGAAGAAAAAGGAAAAAGAAGAAGAAGAAGAGGATGATGATTTGGTGAATGAGTGTGACTCATCCGCTACGTCATCAGTAAGCAACCGCTTTACAGCCTTATCAGAGGAGCAACCCTCAGAGGAGCAACCCTCAGAGGACAGCGTCTTGGACAATGACAAAATATCTGACATGGATCAGGAAGTAGAACAGGACACAGAGCTAGTGAGCGAAATGGAGAAAGTAACCCTGGATGATGCCTTCATTGAAGATCCTCTTGCTGTGGATCAAAGCATGGAGAGTGAAGAAGAGGAAGCTAAAGAGTACACTGTAGTAAGTCAGGACCCAGATCTGGCTTTCCACACTCTGGCTACCAGGAAAGCACCTGAGAAACAGGAGTGTTCAGTCCAGTCGTGCCTTTTCCAGTTCACAGAAGTGGAAACTCTCACGCAGAACAACAGCCTGCTTTGTGTCACCTGCACCAAACGGCAGCCCAATAAAGAGAAAGCTGGAGGTATGTGTTATTCTGACCAATGTGTTGTTGTTTTTGTGCAGTCCATAACACAAATCAAGTAACTACAAACACAAAAAGCCAATTTAAATGTGTGTTGTTGGTCTTGTAGCTGATGTTTTTCTGCTCGACTCAGTTTTTCATTTGAGGGATCAGTGAAGTTCATCGTCTTGTACTTTATGCTTTTTTTTTAAGCATCCAAGAAAAATGTCTACACTGATGCCTTGAAGCAAATGCTTATCTCGTCTCCCCCACCGGTGCTTACCCTTCATTTGAAAAGATTTCAACAGGTAAGACAGTTGAATAAAATGTCAACATTGTACACCTTTTGCAATTATTATTCACACAGCGATGAACCAACTGTTTAAAGAGCAAGAGACGTTTGGTTTTTGATCCTTTTCTTTCTTTTGTCATTGAATGTGGATTTTGAACACAACTCTTTTGTTATTTTCCTCTAGAATGGATACAGTATTTGTAAGGTGAACAGACATGTCCAATTCCCCCTGATACTGGATCTAGCTCCCTTCTGTGCGGTTAAATGCAAGGTAAATATTGTGATTAGGAGCTTTTATTAAATATAGATATTCTTATAACCCTTTTAATAAGTGTGTTATTGTTCTTTAATAGTATGTGCACTAACAGAAAGTTGTTTCCTTACAGAACTTGACAGAGGGAGATAATCAGATTTTGTACAGTTTGTACGGCATCGTAGAGCACAGCGGGACAATGAGGTCAGGTCATTACACAGCGTATGTGAAAGCACGACCTGAGTGCCCTAAACTCTCATCCAATGGATGTACAGCTGAAGGTAGGTGTACTCGTTACAACCTATAGAATAAGTTGGTCCTAATGTTTTATGTATCTCCACTAACTCATCTCTTCCCTTCAAAACCTGCAGATTCAACCAGAGGATCCTGGTTCCATGTCAGCGACACAAGCGTTCAGCCTGTGAGCGAGAGCAAAGTGCAGGGTTGCCAAGCCTACCTCCTCTTCTATGAAAGAATCCTCTAATGAAACTGCGCTTCACTACTCAGGGAATCCAAACAAACCAACCGTCTGCTGCTGCTTCAGCTCCACAGTCCAAGGGATCTCAAAATGTTAACCAACTAGTTATGACTATGACATTAACTAGGCTGTGATGAGATGAAATTGAGTATACAGAATGGACATTTGAGAGTGTTGACATTTCAACACAGTCGTTTCACACAGTATTTCAAGTAACCAGGACCAGCTGTATGTTTCTCACACTTGTTTGAATGATGGCAAAGTGTGCAATGAAAGTCAACATGGACGTTTTACGGATTGTGGTTATGGATTTGTAAAACAGATTACAAGATAAACGAAAGTTGAGATAAATAATAACTTGTAAAACATATTTATGTTTATTTTTATCAATATCATCATAATGAAATGCTTTAAAATTGGAAAAGTTTTTCATGTCCTGTGTGCTGGCTTCCCGAGTCTTACACTGAGCATGCGCAGTAATTGCTTTACAGTATTTTTTCCTGGTCCCAGTAGTCACATGACGAGAGGGAAGCCTGGGTCCGGATGAGCAGAAACGTCTCTACTAAACATTTTTCTAATGCCAGTTTTATCAAGCTGACATGGCAGGTCAGTGAACCTTTGCCCTCTTACATTAATATTAAAACGTATCGTTACTGTTTGAGCATGCCTTTTATGTTTTTTAGCCAACAACAGGAAGATGTGTTCGCTCGGTACAGTAGTCAGAACATGGCTAACGGTCTTGGCCTAGCGTAAAGCCTCTCAGTTTGGATACAATTGTCGACCATTAACGTGACATTTGTATCTTATTAAACTCTTCCAGTTGTTAGTAACATTATGTTATCGTCGCAACTTCGGATACTTTTCTTTACGCCTCCACCAGGGAGAGTTGTGTAACTTGGCTAAACATGAGTCAGCATTTTTAACTTGCTACCCGAGTGAAAATGAAATCTATCCTGCCTGCAGTAATTTACAATTTACAAGTTAAATGACCGAGTTAACTGGTCATCTAACCTTTAGCTATCTGCATCAGCTGATGCATCATTAGATTTCTCTTTTACTGACTTCACACTGGAGCATGTAATAGCCTTAACACAGTAGGTCATATTTTCTGCTGCCTATAATAATAATAATGTCAATTCAAGTTTTTGTTGATAAGTGTTATTCAAACAATAAACAATACATTTGGTTTTACATATTAAAACAACCTCCCTTATTTTAGTAATGCTCAGACCAAACTTCTCAGATGGCTTATTTTATTGTTCCTCGAGGGGTCACCATCACCATGAAAATGAGCTTGGTGTTTTTAAATGATTGTGCAATGTTTCACCTCATGCTAGGGAACAATTATACTAGGGCTGCAATTATCACTTTAAAAAAAATACAATGTCATCCTATAAAATGCCAGTTAACTGTAAAAATGTCTATTTCAAATTCAAGGTGATGTCTTAAAATGTCTTGTTTCAACCTACCGGTCCAGATTCAAAAGCTATTTAGTCTACTATCATGTGTGGTAAAGAAAACCGGATGGTATTCACATTTGAGAAATGGGAACACATGCATTTTAGATTATAAACTGATTTTTAAACTAATAAAAAATGTTGAACATCAATTTGTGTTTGATCAATAATTAACTTATCACTGCAGCTAGACTTTTTGACAGTCTGTTGTGACCATGACTCTGTTGTCTCCTCCCTGCTCCCTCTGTCACACAGGCTGAGCTTGTTTGAACCATGTCGCTCCAAGCTTCTCGCATGTCAGTGTTCACCTTTCAGTCTGCAGTGCACAGCGCTAATGTTCTCCAGAGTCTGGATGAGCAGAGGCGGCGGGATGTCCTGTGTGATGTGACGGTGTTGGTTGAAAGCAGGAGTTTCCGGGCCCACTGCTCTGTCTTAGCTTCCTGCAGTGAATACTTTCAGAGCAGGGTTACAAATGTCACCAGACAGAACACCGTCATCTGCTTGCCTGATGAGGTTGGTGTTCAGCTGATTCATCCTTCAGTCGCTGAAGGATTTGGGGCAAAAGTTGACACTGATATTTTGTTTGTGCATGAATGTGTTGTAACTCGTCACCAATAATTGCCAATGCTGAATTCAGTTGCTCTATTCAGAATTCAAGTAAGGCAGGTTTGTACTTGAGTACAATTGTTATGTCACCAGTACATTATGTCCAAAGTTTGAATTAAGTCCTGGCCTAAGGCATCCTTGGAGGGAGTTTCTCTATGAATGGCCGACTTGTTAATTTGGTGAATTGCTAAACATTACATTGCACTAACCAAGCTGCAATGTCTTTGCCAGACCAGCCACTGAAACATTTCTGAACAAGACTAAGTTGTTATCACATGGACTGAAGCTTTTCTTCAAGATTTTCCATTAAAAATGCTGACACAGCAATATCAATTTTTTTCAGCATTGGTTGTGTATCATGACATTTGTTAATGTGCGGCCCTTTCAATACGATGAATGCCTGTGTACATTAAAAAGTATGTGACGACAATTTATATCAGACCCGTAAGCGATCAACTATTTTGAGCTTTCTTGATTTTAAGTGGCTTTTTTAACCACTGAGCTATATATTGTAGTACAGGCTATACTACATACAGCCATATAGATCTGCATAAAAACATCTCTTCATTAGCTGGTATATTTTCCAGAATAGTCTTTTCAAATGTTATTGTTGCTGTTTAGTTTGTGCTGTGAGTTTTATTGTACCTTAACACTTTTGTTTATTTCCTTTTCCCCACAGGTGACTGTTGAAGGGTTTGAACCTTTGCTTCAATTTGCCTACACATCTAAGCTGCCCTTCACGAAAGAAAACATTCATGCCATTCACCGCAGTGCTGAGATTCTAGGATTTAATGACTTGGAGTCCTCATGCTTTGATTTCCTCATCCCAAAGTTTACTGCAGGTAATAGAGCCTCTCCAGAGGTCAGGCAGAGGGCCTGTTGTCTGAATCGGGAACCCAGTGCCAGTTTTAGCCCCCGTGTAGAGAGCAGCCAACCAAAATCATTTGAGTCACACAGCTCACTGCCTTCAAGAGGTGATGAACAAACAGATTTCCCATCACAGTGTCCTCAGAGAGCACAGGGTCAGATGCACAGTGCGGAAGAACCCTTCTGTTTGGAGAATTGTGGGCCACAAATGGCCCCCTTATCTTTCTTAACAGAAAATGCTGTGTGCCCCATGTTGTCTTTGCCATGCCCAGCTGCCGACAAAGCAGATCACCCCACTCAGTTCTGCGAAAGAGACATTTTAGGGATGGGAGATGTGTGTAATCAAAGTGAGTTGAGTTTAGCAGACTGTGGCTTACCCTGTGAGCTGTCCGCCCCGGGGGAAGTGAGTCAGCCAGAACTCATTGAGCCAGCAGGTGATGTTAAGCAGAGTGTCGAGACGCTTGTTGCTGAAACCGACTGCAACCCCAGTTCCTGTCCACTTAACACATCAGGCGCGGAAGATTGCAGTGAGTTAATAGGGCAGAGTCAGGCTGGTTTTGTACAGAAAATAGAAGGTGATCTCTCAGACCCGGCAGTAACTGATTCAAACCACGAAGAGGGAATTGGGGAGAGGAGCAGCGTTGAGAGGGAGGTGGCTGAACATCTGGCTAAGGGGTTCTGGTCTGACATATGTCCATCTCAAGCTCAACCACTGCCCTTGGAAGCCATTGACCAAAACCATCTGTCAAAAGCATCAGACTTCCATTGGCTCAAGCAGCTGGACCTGAGCTCCAGTGTAGGAGACTGCCCCTTCCTCAGGGACTTTGGGACAGGTGATGACCCAGCCCCCCCCACCGACAGCCTGTCTCAGTCAGAGAAGAGCCCCTACATGTCCTCGCTCAACTCTGGGGACGACTCAGACCTGGACACAGACGGAGATACTGAGGCTAACAACAAACGAGCAGCAGAGGTCATTTTGATACACAGATTATTTGGTGATGGATAAAGATATTAATTTAAAAATAATCTAACTCCTTAACCCTGTGCTCTACAGATTCAGCTTCCATTCCCAGTGGAGCAGATCTCAGCGTTGAGTCGGAGTGCCTTCCAGCAGCTTCTAAGACAACATCAACTGACTCATGATCAGATGGAGTTTGTCCATGACGTCCGTCGACGAAGCAAAAACCGTGTGGCTGCTCAGCGCTGCCGAAAGAGGAAACTAGACGGCATACACCATCTAGAAATTGACGTAAAAAAATTAGTAAGTTGCCTTTTTATATGTCTGGTATTCTCAACAAGATATGATTACATTTTGTGTTTGTATAACCTTTGTCAACCTCTCGGGGTGACCAGTATAAACTACAGCAATGTTGATAGAAGTACAAGTCACAGCCTTTCACCTCTTGTCAATTTGACATAACAGAATAATAAACTTCTAATAAATATCAATAATCTGAGCATAAATACAATACTTAAATACTTAGATGACTGTCTCTCAATGCTACAACAAGTTATTTGGAAATGTACATAGGAGAAGATCAACATGGAAGCCTTTGCTGAACTGCTAACCCACATGGTTATTTAATAATGACAGATGAAAATGTGCACCTACTGACCAACTATCCACATAGTTTGAAAGTTCATTTAGATCAAGGTCTCCGAGGCGACACAAAAACATTTTATGAGTGAATGCAGCTTTCTCCTTTTTTCATAGATACAAAATGACTTTATTTATTTAGCAGCTACAAATAACAAATAATTTGCCAAGCTCCATAGAGTGACCCTTTCATTTTACAGAGTAATCGCCAGTTGTAAGCTTTGGTCCAAAAAATGCATGTTTTATTAGGATTTGAGGAAGTGAAATAATCTTAACTCTTGTTCTTTGTCCAGAAAAGTCAGAAAGAGCGACTGCTGCAGGAGCGTACTGAGCTGCAGCAGAACCTGGACGAGACGCGGCAGAGCCTGTGCGGGTTGTTTAAGATTGTCAGCCTGGAGTCTGGCTCTGATCAGGACCATCTGCAGCTTCTCACCAAGGTCTCTTTACCAGACGCCCCCGTCTCCTCCCCTAGCTATCTGGGGAAAGTAGAGGAGTACCAGATCCCTATCGAAATGGTAAGTTGTTCTTCAGAGTGTGACCCAAGCAAGCCGCCCGCAGGCTCTGAGCAAAGTGCTGCTCCAGATGCTGGCACTCAGACAGAGGAGGCCGGTTCTCCCCACAGCTGCCCTGCTCCCACTGCTCTGTATGTCTGTATGGACATCAACAACAGCTTATAATCGGACTTCTATTGTCATCTCTAATCATGCAGGATCATGGAGCAGGGGGTGGACTCTTGAGTATATACTGTAAGCCCCCTTTGCGATATATATGCTTTCATGTTTAATTCACTGAATGATGTTCTGCCTGATGTAGGTATTTAATGTGACATTCAGAGATGTCACTTTTATTTTTACTGTACTTCCATTATGCATTTCATTGTAGTTAGAAAATAATCATTTATAGTGATTTTAAAAGTGCAAACAAGGTTCAGGTTTTTCCTGAATGTTTCCATTCCTTAAAATGTTCCTGTTTTTCTCAGGGAAACTCATACCCTGACACTGTTTTGATGCTTCAAATATTTCTCATTGCACATCCATCTCATACATCTCATGAGTCATTATAATCTGAACACATTTTGTATTATTCTAGCATCATGCTGTTTCTCTGCAATATGTACAGCACTAACAGGTTGTTTCCTACAGTAAACTACAACAAGTTATTACAGCTAACACAAGTTCAGCATTATTTGAATATGCCAGTACATAGTTTGAATGAATAACGGTCAGCTTCCCCGATATTTGAGGAATAGTTCCTGTGACTTGGCAACTGTTACAGGGGAACATAGCAACTCATTGATGCAAAATGTGCCTTATGCAGTATTATAGTATGAATACAGAACGGCAATCTTTGTATATCTTTCTCTCAAGCACTGTTGCACATTAACCAAGAGCCCATATTGATGGCATTTTCTTATGCTAAGATCTGTATTCACGTTTTTTATTGAATGCTTCCATTGATTACAGATTTGAATAAACCACATTTTGTTACCATCCAGTGTTTTTCTTTAACCAGCAATAAGGAATATTTCACCTTCTATGGATGCACAGTACCACAGTTTGGCCAATAGATGGAAGCACAACTCAATTTAGCTCACCAGCTTATGTGACCATGAATTGACTACTAGAGCTATACAACAAAATGAATTGTTCCTTCTGAAATTCCTTCGCAAGATATTGAGCTTTTTTTGCAAGCTCAAAGCTTGATGTTGCAAAATGTATGGAAATGTTGGGCCACAATAAAAAATTAACCTTAAACGGCATGTAGTATCGCTCATGACAGTACATGTGAGCATTGGTTGAAATAATCAACAAAAAATACTGAAATTAAGAAAAAAAGTGTGGCTGGGGCTTTTAGTGAGGAAGAGCATGATGGTTTTTAACGACTTGCATTACTCAATTACAATACAGTCTTAAATTACACACAATTCCTGCTTATTGCACATAACGCTGCGGTTATATGAACATACAATAAGACAAAACTTCATCCATTCCCACGGGATATTAAGATTGTGTTGGGTAATACTACTGCTCAAATCTAAACGGAACTAAACTGTTGTCTACAAATGTTATGGATCTACAGCGCCATTAGGAAGATTACAGATGGAACTAAATTAGAGTTGAAATTAGAGTCAGACTCAGATAAACGACCTGAGCTCTGTAAAGAGACAAATTACCCAGAGACAGGACATTTGAAATAGTAAGGTGTATATGGCAGCCATCCATTCCTTTAACCCAGCAGTGCAAACTGATCATTAAGACTCGTTATGCTGTAGATGCAATGACGAAAACTAGTGAAATCAATATATTCCAGACTTACAATTATACAATTGGGTCTCTAAACTTTGTATTTCTTAAACGTAAAAATAAGCAGCACAACACAAGATTGGGTGCAAGTCATTACTCAATCAGATGTACACACACACCACCAAAAGAAAAAGAAAGGAAAGAGCCAGCTGACCTCCTGGTATTGTACCACACATAAACAGAATCAATGCACTTTTTTTTTTTAAAGCGGTAGCCCTAACCTCCTTTCAATGCCACGCACGAAGACAATTTTCTGCAGACACTTTTGTTACCAATAGGTGGTGTAGTTTTAAGTTATCGTCTGCCTTCATTCATGGTAAAGTGTAGCACAAAATAGTATTTTAAAAGAGAGAAGAGGTCCTGAAGCTATCATCTATCATCAAAGAACAACTATAGATACTTTTCTTTCAAGGTAGGACCTTATAATGAAATCTGTTGTGAAGCAATCTCATTATCTTTTTAAAAGAAACAAAAAGAAATGTCATTCTGTTTGGAGTGTTTCCTTACATCATTCATCATAGCAACCCAGGTCTTATGCAGAATATGCATTGTTTTTAGCACCTGTAAGTCAACATATCATGCACCAATATAATTACAAGAAAATAATGCATGCTGTTATTGCTCATTATTCCCAATCTCACTTTTGTTTCAGCTGCTCATTCTTGTGAAGATCCATGTTTGAGCTGAAAACATTACATTACATTACATTTAGCTGACGCTTTTATCCAAAGCGACTTACAATTACCAATTACAGGGACATTCTCCTTGGAGTAACTATGGGCTAAGTGCCTTACTCAAGGGCACACTAGTGGTGGTGTTCCAGGCAGGATTTGAACTCACAACCTTCTGATCTTCAGCCCACCTCACTATCCATTAGACCACCACTATAACACAGTTACAATCATGTATACCAATTTATTTTAGGTTTTTGTCTACTGTGTATTTTGACCTGTTTCAGCTGAACACAAGGGGAATCTCCAAGTGCTTGTTGCTTTTTGCCCATTAACATCATAGTACTGTAGCACTTAAAGAACGAAAAGCAATCTCATTGTGTTTTCCTCAGAACACAGTTTTCAAGGTTAAAGTGGTAATTACAGGGAAACACTGAAGCCACCAATAAAACCTGTACCCATCTTTCAGAAGTCAACACACACACACACACACACATACACACACACACGCTGAAAAACAAAGCTCAGCTCTGGACTCGACAAGTGGTGTTGCATCTAAAAGTCAAAAGGATTAGATGATGATAATGCCACAGAGATTCGATATCATGACACACATCTGTAGAAAATCCTCAAGTTGATGGTTGTCAAAAGTGGCATCACCTTCAAATACCAAAGCACTCCAAAGCATCATGAATTGGACCAGTGTATGATGTTCCATTAAAAAAAATTAGGATTTGTTTGTCTCTTTTATGCACAATTTGTATTTAGGAGCATTGTAGCGCAAAAAAGTAAGATTATCCTCTCTTGCGAGCTACACAGGCAGAGAAACTTGATTTGAGGAGGAAGCAGCTGTGCGCCATGGCAAGGTCAGAGGCCCATAATCCGCGGCCTCATTCATGCGGGATTAAAAACCTGCTCTGAGTTGTGATTAAGAACGCAGGGTTAGAAGATTAAAGACCAGCAAACAAAATGAAAGCAGTTTAAGCCCAATCCTGGAATTCATCAGAATACCAAAACCTTAAACTGTCATTACAACGTGAGATTAATGCAAAGCCCCTCTGAACTCTGTATCAATCTTGATATATCTTCTGTCAGAGCATATATTTCTCTTTCTTAAAAACTCAAGTCTTGATAAAGATCTCACACTTTGTCGTTTGTCCCCACCTCCCTCCTCTCTGTTTTTTTTTCTCTTTGAAAATGTAGATTTTTTAATCCTATTAAAACAATGTCAGTATGTATTGGCTCAGATACTGACAATAAAATGAACAATACTTTTTATTGTATTTATTTTTTATTTATTTTCCCTGTGTTTTTTTTCCTCTTGGTTCTCTTGCTTTCTTCCGCAGTCTAAAGACATGTAGGTTATGTTCATTGTGCTAAACTCTAAATTACCTGTAGGAGTGAGGTTGAATGGCTGTCCCCCTGCGCCCTGTGATGACTGGCCCACTCCCGCCCAATTTCAGCTGTGATCGCTCCAGCCCTCTCCTGTAAAGGATACGTGGTTACAGATAAAGGATGGATGGGTTTACGTGTTTTTATTTTACCTACTTTTCACAATGATTCCAGTCGTTATCCTCTGATAGGCAGACTCCACAGTACTTAGGTAGCAAGGATTAGGAAACAGGAGGCAAGCGGGAAAAACAAGGATTAGAAATTAAAACATCTGGAAGTTAGGTTGCCTGTGAATATACTAGAGCAGAGAATATACTAAAAACATTGACAAACACTATTCAGTGTAGCACTCTGACTGCAGACTTCACTTGTCCTGCAGGCTAAAACTGACCACAGATACAAATGTCATAAAGTAGTTCTTGTTAAACAAGAAGCAACAATTGAAAGTTACATATGTGGTTGCTAAACTTTTCCATATCCATATTTGAGCTTTTACATGTTCCCCTTGCTCTATATAAATATAAAATAGCTGCAGAGCAAGGACCTTTGTCAAAGCCTTATGATTGAAGAGCTAAGAAGTGGACATACATATAGTTTTGGAGTTTGTCTACCAGGGGTCAAAATCCTAGAGAAAAACACAATACTTTTGTAATCAATCCAAGCATAAGGTCCATGACCTTCTTGCAACACAACATAAATCTTATAAGCTGTTGAGCAACTGTATCCTAACTGATTAAATGCTGTAGTCACAATGAACTTCATTTTGGGGGCAGCGCAGAAAAGGGGGCTGTATCCCATTGACAGGATTATATAAATGAGGACCATAATACTGTAATCTCCCAGAGAAATGAGAGAAACCAGGGACATGCCGACCCCAGCTCGCATAGCACCCTGGTCTTTAACTGTCAGATTAACAAACAGCTGGTTGAACAGTGACAGATGACATTCATTCACACTTGCTTTCTTGTTTCAACAGTCCACGCTGTGTTGCATTTGCAACACTTGAAACATAAGGAAAAACGCCACTCAGTATAGGATCCATCAAATAAGTCATACTGTGTCAGGGTCTCACTATTTAACCAACATTTATCAATGTGGAATGTGGAAAAGCAAAAATGATGCCTGCAATTCTGCATCGTTTTTAATTAACTTTTCTGTATTGAAAGTTAGATTAGGAATTAAATCATTTTCTCTTAAGCAGCGCAGAAAATATCTTCAAAGGGGGAAGCCATCATCCTTTTAACAAATTCACATACGTTATACAGCATTTTCATTGGATTTGACAGAATAAACAGTTAGATCATTTGATATGGTTGCTGATTCCTTTGAGTGCAAACAGTGAACATAATTTACAAAGATTCTCAAATGTATCCAAAAGATATCCAGTTCACTTATGCATCTCATTTGAAGCTGGTGGCTAGAGGTGCAGCTCTCTGAACAATTTAAAACAACAATTTAAACTTAATATAAGATTGATCTTTATTAACAAATGTATATCAATCAATATAACAGCAGTAAAATCATGTTTTAAAAACTCAATACCTTAGATTTGTTTTCTCAAAGTGTGTTTGTATGGCAAAGGAACATGCTGTGTAATGCTGCTCTCTCATTTGCTTTCACTATTCTCTTCATTGTCATGTGACTAAAAACATACCCAGGTCCTCCATCACAGCATTGAAAGGAAACTGTAAAGTAAAATAGTAAAAGCAAAGGAAAGGAAGACACAGCGCTAAATCAACAGGTCAAAATGAAGAAACACACTGGTCTTAAAAACATCTTTAACATCACAGTATTGTTCCAGTTGATTGTTAGAGTTTGACCTGGCGTCATACTGTTTCAGTCGCTAAGACACATCTCTCAAATGGAAACAGCTGGGAGTTTATAGTTTTTAGAGCTCAGTATTGTTAACACCTGTAATCTTATGATTGTTGCTAGTTTCAAACTTGTGGTACCTGAAAAAGTCCCTCAAAGTTCATGATTTCATTTCAAAATGTATTATCTCCTTTTTCTTTCATGGTGGGCATTCACATACCGTTAAACTTTTCTAATTTAAACTTAAAGGTTTTAATACTAACATGTTTTTTCCGGCAATACTAATTAAATTATCAAAACTGCAGTGTCATTGTGAGCAAATGGGTGTTGCCAATAAATGCAACATTTGCATTAGATTCCCATTAAATGTTTGGGCTATCACAAAAAGCAAATTAGCATTATATTGAATCAATGTTGTATGTGTAATGCAAGAAGTAAGTCAAAAATCATCTTTGCAAAACTCATAATCACTAGTCAATCATAGTTGTTGTTCATAAATCCCACCAATCTGTCCTTAGTTACAGGTATTATTATTTCAAACCTGAAATGCTGTCACATCAAATTGAATGTGACAGAAATCCTATAAAGCAGAGGCAGAACAAGCAGAGCTCAGAATTAACTGTTAGATTTCGGGGAAGAAGAATTTCATTACATATGCAGGATTTTTATAATCTAATGTGGGACATGTGTGGCCTGTAAACCAGGAGTGTTTAATATGTGTTTGTAATCCACTTCATAATGAGGATGTTATTTACAAGCCTAAGCCTGAGTGAGGTGAATATGTGTCTGATTAGCACTGAGAGGAAGCTAAGAGAAATGGGATTCTGGGATACAAGAAGCTATGCTGAGACAGTGAGATGTGTCCTCAGCCAATGTGACCACCCGAGTTAACCTTTAATCCTAAAAACATCTCGCTAAATGTCAACTGCTGCACGATGAGTTGCTTTACATTCTGTGCAAAACCAACATAACTGTGGTTAAGACTAGTTGTGCTGCTTTACATTGTTAATTTACAAAAGTATAATAGTTGGTTAATTGTTGAGGTGCTTGCAAGCAACATCTATGTATGCCAAAAATAAGACCATGGTGATATACATTGAAGTATGTATGCATACAAAATAATACGTGATGATAAAGTATGAGTGCAGGCCAAAAACAACAACAAGCAAACCTGAGTTTACTGAACTCATAATAACCCCTGTTCTCAGATTACACGAGTGAAGTGTCTAATGAAAATTGTTCCCCAGAAACAAATTATAAGGGAATTAAAAAGGATCACAACCATCAAATATTCAAACTGGGACAGCTGGAATTTGAAATCGTGCAAACGTTATCCCACTTGCTAACCTCTCCACCAAGGAAGGGAAAAAGCTGTGCGTGCAGAGAAAGGGAGAAATCAAAGCCAAAACAAGCGGAAATAAAAGGTTAAAGGACGTAATGTTCTCACATAACTTTAGTCATTCTGAAACAATTCCAACTTGACGAAACATATACATGCATGTTTGTGAACTTGATATGATACAAAAGCAAAAGAAAACAGCAGACAGTAAGCAACTGATGGCCTGAGTGTAAAACAACTTGAATAACATTTTGTGGGAACACTCAAAAACAAAATGGAAACATGAATAAATCAAGTTATTATTTTTTTTTTAAATACATGAATACATACAAAAGTGGTAAGAAGAAGTTCTCTCATGTTTCTTTGCACTCTTAATATGAAAATTACTAAAACATTTTACAGAACCCTCCCAACCCTACTGCAGTTAATAATACGACAAACAAGCCTTAAAAAATAACTCTTGCTAACGTATTCACAATATCATGGCATGACAATTACCTTTTTGTTCCACACAAAACAATGTAACAGTTTTTTTGCAAAAAAAGCAAGGCCAAGATGGTCAAGTGTCATGATGTCAGAAGTCAACAACCATCTGTCATCATAGGAAAGGGTTTCAAAAGTATTCTTCCAATTAAGACTAAAATGTCCATGAGCTCTACATTAAAACTACTGAAAACACTAAACTCTTTATTAAAAACCATTTCTTTTTTGATTGTAACAATGCAGTTCAACACATTCAGACATATTTGTTGTTGGCCCAGTGATTACTGTAGTCCTCTGAAGACAACAGTAACAACATAAATGTGTAGGTGCGTTTATAACAGTCTTTGATCAAGTCCCCTAGTGTGTTAATACTTGTTATGCCATTCGCACTGACCAACACTCACCTCCTCGATGTCCAAGTTTTTTCGGGATTTGTAAATAAATTCTCCAATTGCTACAAAAACTGAGAGGACAAGTCCGGCTGCCAGCACAATAAAGATTCCACCAATGTTCTCCACCCCCAGAGCACTGGCCTCTTTGCTGTCCTCCTCTGGGCAGCCATTTCCTCTCCACCATTTCTCCTTCATCATGTGCAGCTTCCCTTCCTCCTGAAGCTGCAAGATGGCGATGGTGACCTTGTCTCTGTAAGGGGAACCTAAAAACAGCAGCCGGATCAAATCATTATTACAGTCAAAACCAGCGTCATAACCTTTGGGTTTTTTGTTTTGTAGACAGATAGGGAGCATTTTTTGGTTATCATTGTTGTTTTGTAGTTTGCTTTTCATGTCTCTTACCAATTGGGGTTCCCACTCCATAGCCCTTTGAATCTATCAAGCCTCCAATCTGTGTGAGGTTGCAGTTACGCTGGCTGATGTACTCGATGCTGGTCGATTCCATCAGAAGAGCATAGTCTGTGGTGAGAACCCTCTGAATCCCCTCCCGGTTGTTTTTCACCAAAGCCGTATTTTTCCTACTGCTCATGAATGCCCACATTTTTTCGTAAGTTGAGATCTTAGATTTCTGTTAAATAAGAATTGGGAAGTTTAGAACAATGCATTATGGTAGTCAAGGGAGCAACAACAACACAGACCTTTGCACAAAACAGACAATGTGGATGCATGGTCATTGGTTGAGGCTTTTATTTAATATTTCAAATAATTTTGGAGTCTAAAGCAACCATCCTGATGAATAGCAGGAGATGGGATGGGACAAGTTTGTACACATTTGCCCAAGTTGATTCAATTTTCTCTGAAGAACAATACATCCTTGAATCTTTATAGAAGATTTGGCCAGAGGCTTTTCTTAATCTGCATGCATGAGGAAGTTAACCGTTGACCCTCCTTTTTATCCCGAACCCAACCCATCACACAGCACTTGTCACGTTGCGGTAATGACTGATGGCTCAAGGGTCAAACTTGTCAGGATTATTAAACTCAAAAGTGGTGTTCTTGTTTGCATCCCCATTGTTGTAAAGGTACATTTACCATTTGCTGTACAATGAAAGAAGATTACCTTAAAAAAGGTCATGGTGGAGCCGTCTCTTACAGCACCGTACTCTATTTTCGTTTGCTTGGCCAAGTCATCTGCAGAGTCGATTGGTGAGTCCATCCTCTCCACAGTGAGGAAGGCAGCCAAGTTGGCAGTGTATGAGGAGATTATGATCAGCGTAAAGAACCACCATATTCCACCAACTATCCTCGTAGAGAGGGCCTTAGGCATCAGCTCAGATCCTGTAGGATAACAACACAAGGTACATTAGGAATTCCACAAACAAATACGTCAAAGATGGTACAGGAGGTGACAAAAATAGCCATGCCACTGATTATCATATTTGTTTAAAGGCAGGCCACACATATTATAATATGCATGAAGGAGATGGGTGAAGGTGATCTACCAAAGGGAAACTACTGCCAGGTCTGAACACAGCATAATACTATTATAATTGCAGGAAGTGTACCTTGCTGCATAAGTGCTCCAACTCCAAACCAGACACTGTTTATTAGAGTGAAGTTGTTTTCGACCACATCTGAGTCTGGGTTGCAGGGGTGAGGGTTGTACCACTCATAAGGAGTAAACCTGAGGAAGAAGAATCAAAAAGAAACAATAAATTATACAACAGACAAAACTCCTTCTGACCAAGGACACATCAAAATAAACTACTGTTGCTAGTTATTGCAGCAGTGTGCAAACAAATCTATAGGTCCTTGTTGCAGCCAAAATAAATGCTTGAATACAAATAAATCCAAATGGCTGAATGAATTCAGGAATTATAAATAGTTAGAGGAAATTGAAAAAACATTTTTGGCCAAACAATGTGACTTAAAGTGCAATAAACCATCCAAAAAAAAACAGACAAAGAATTGTATACACACAATAATCTTCATTAATTTAAATGTTCTTTATGCTTTACCTGGCAATAACAAAGAGCACACAGCTGACACCCAGGCATGCCAGTAGCACATACATCCAGATATCAGGAGACAGAGGGTTGAGGAAGGAGAACACCCCTGGATTGGTGCCGTTGGGTTTGTGGTAGAGGATGCTGATTCCCAGTGTCATGAAGGGTTTGGAGAAATCTATCACCTTTTCCCTCACATATGTGATAGTGAGAGGGGCCACAGCGAGGTCAGCCACCTGGTACAGAAGCATCAGGCAGAACCAGAGTCAGAAACAGATGGTACTGCGGATCATATGGATATTCTCTCACATATAATATTGACTGCTACTCACATGGTCAATGAGTTCTCGCACCATGCCGTTCCACTCCCCCTTGTCATTCTGAGCTCCATATTTGCCATCAGTCACCAACTTCACCTCATAGGAGAAGCCCAAAATGTTGGAGAGCTCTTTGAGCAGGTCGAGGCAGTAGCCCTCAAAGCGATCATTTCCATACAAGGGCTTATCAGATTTCTTATGCATGACATAGGGATTTTCCTGGAACGAGGCAAAAAAACGATTTTATTTGTTTTTGTCAAGATATTCATGAATGAATGCTGTCTGATAATAACTTGAGATCATACCAGAATAGTTGTGACAATGAGTGTCCTGTTGGCCATTGAGTCGGTCACATTTGTGGATGAGTCCTTGTTGCTTTCTGTTAAATTAAGGCCTGTTTGAGAGTTCCACACGCCAATCTGTAAAGAATAAGATATTTAAATAATCACACATTTGTCAAAGATAAATAGTTGCCCAGGTCAGGCTTACTGGAACAAGGTAAGGAATGTAAAAGGGGGGGAAAACAAGCACGAGGAATCAGAATACATTCAAAGTCCAAACAGAGATGAGAGAGTGGTAAAGGAAAAAAAGGAAAAGTTATAAAACACAACATCTGAAATAAAGCTTGAAATTCCATGTCCAGTGCAGAAATGTTGAACATTTCTTTCCACCGGTACCTACAACTTATTTTTAAGAAGAAGGGGAGACATCACAGAGGGCTGAAGGTAGAGAAAATTCATTTTAAAAAAAAGGTCATATTCGATTAGTCTGCTAGGGCAGCTAAAGTACAAACCTTTTTCCACACTTTATTCAGGCGACTGTTGCCCGCGATTGTCTTGCAGAAATAATAAAGAGAAAGCATTTTAATGGCAAGGTCCTGCACTTAAAGTCAAAAACAATGATGATGAATTTGCGATAAAAATACAATAAATAAATCTGGGTATAACCCTTCTTTGGTTTGAAATTACAACCTGTACTTTCAATTGTATTAACCAAGATTTGATTTCTTTGTTGTGAAGAAAAATAATGACCTGCCAAATTTGAGGGCAGCATTGTCAATGTGATTAAAGGAACATCTGCACACTTTCAAATGACAGCTACACAACTAATTACAAAAGGCTGTGTATCAAAACAGTTGCATTTTTTTTTCTTTGGCATAATTGTTACACCGGTTTTCAATACTGACACTGTATATTGTTCACAGTGAATAGCAGTGACCCTGTTTGTCTATGCTCTGCTATGAATGTCCACAATAACAGCCTGTAATAATAGACTCGGGTCAGATAGTTCACCTTCTCCAAGCCATCTTCCTTGAGGCTGATGACATCTAAATCAAATTCTTTCCGCAGGCCGTCCGTCTTGTTTACAATTATTTGTCCCGTCAAGCCGTTCCATTGTGCCTGTGGCAAAGAGAGAACAGAAAACAAAACCTATGAGTCCCTCAGCTTTTATTGTCACACACATAAATGCAAAGTCAAGCAGAAGCCTGGAAAATGTTAAACAATTCAAAACATGAATAATTGATGAGTGCTACGTTAGGCAAAGAACATTGACAATGGCTAACTGCATCTTAATGGACATTAGCATTGGCTGGATCCCCAGTGGAAATATGAAGTATCTCTGAGCATATTACATGGTGGACAGTGATGTAAATGGAGCAGGCAGCATGGCCTCTGTGTGTGTGTGGAGCGGCGGGTGGGCAGCAGGGCTCAGAGATATTTGAAAGCAGTTGATAATGAAGTGAGCTCAGCTGAATAACACGCAGGTTTAGTCTCTGTTACAGAGGGTTTAGAGAAATGGGCTGCATCCTTTTTCTTTATGTGAAGATGGCATATATGCAAATCATTATACCAACTGAAATTTGCCAATGTTGAGCCCTTGGCATTTTTGTCTGGCTGTGAATCAAAGCGTGCCGAAAATAGAATTAAATAATTTATTGGGGGGCATTTGGAGTGACACAAGCCAAATGCCACTGATGATCACATGGCTTTACACCACCACAAACTCATACCAATGTTTTGGGGACGAATGGCGCCTTTTGGTTTATCATCTTGTTCTTTTATCCTTCAAATCTTAAAGCTTTGGTAGCAATGCAGCCCTTTGTAAAAAGGAAGTAGCATTTATTTTACTCTAGTGTTGTTTTGTTAATTGTGTTGTATTGTACAACTGGTTCAGAATGCGTTTGTTTTGCTTCCTGTTGATTGAATAGATTTGTCTTCAGTAACAAACTCATTTCTGTTTAAAGAAAAATAAATGTTATGTATGAATTCAAGAGCAATTCATATAACTGAGTGTGGTACGTGGCCAGAAAGAATCTTAAGATTGAAGATTAAACTTGATTAAACTTAAACATCACATTTTCCCCTTCAATAAGTGTCATCCGTTTCCTATGCAAAGGTCTCTCACACCACATAGGTTAGAGGGTATCGCTTGGTGAAGTTGCTGTTTGATTAGACCGCTTCACTCAGTCCTATTGCACACAGCTGTGAGGCCTACTGGATTTATTCATGTCATTAAGTCCCTTTTAAAATCCCCACTAATCAAAAGGGTCTCTGTCTGACCATGTGTTGGTGTCATTACTGTACATGTAGTGATGACATGAATCTGCTCGGATTGGAGAATCCAGATGATAGAAAGGATGAGAATGACCTTCAGCACGAAGACCTCACTGATAATCCCTGAATAAACTAGACAGACGAGCTTTGTGAGAAAAACTCATTTGGCTCTTCTACTCCTCCCTCAGGACTCTTTACACCACCCTCACACACAAACATGCCCTGCGTGTACATTGTTAAGTTAAGGAGAATAGTCCAAGTGCACAACCTTGTTTTCTTGAGTTGTGAGTTTTACTTGAAACTCTCTCTGCAAAACCTAACTTTTAGTATTGGGCTAAATATGTGCTACACAGCATTGATTCCTGCAGGGAACATTGTCTTTTTGCCTTCCCTCCTCCATGAGAGCAGTGCAGGGTGAAACACAGAGCAGCACCCCTGGATTCTTGCTTAAGGGCACCTAATCCAGTTAACACAGTTATAAAACACAATCTGAACGACCGTTTCAGTGTTTTTAATGTCTATGATTAATTTAAACTATTCAAGTATATGATGCTACTGATAAACAACAATACACACATTTTAAATGTATTTTCCAACAGCCTGGCAGCCATTAGTGTCTGAACAGTATCAAATGCAGAGACTTCAAAATCCACCATAATTAACATAATGTCTAAGTTGAGTAACCCAATGATACCATGTATCATGGGTAAAAAAATAAGACTTGGCGGCTATGCTCAAGTCTCAACAGTATTACTGCTTAATAATGACTAATAAAATAAGGACAGACAATATGTTCACATTAACAGACTATATATACATTTCAAGCCTCAGAGGTGGACACAAATCGTCATGGTTTCTAGCAGCTATTAATATGAGTTCCAATACAAATCCTGTTTGCTTGCCACTAACCTCTGCTGTGATTTCAGTCCCTGATATGTAGTTAATGGGACACAAATATATATATATATATATATATATATATATATATATATATATATATATATATATATATATATATAAAACACCATTATGCTCCTTTTCAATTAATGCATTGTAATAAAAACAAGTCTTGTGAAAAAATAGTCTGGAGGTTTATTGAGTAGAAGACAGAGTGTAGGAATATGCGCAGTTAATCATATTCGCTCATATTCTACACTTCAATGTGTTTATGTATGAATGCTGATTACATGTCTTATTACAGACAATATCTGCCGAAGCTTCACATCACACTCTGGGCTCTTTCTTTCCATTGCCCTTCAATATTTTGTCCGCACTTGCAAATGGAAAGTTCATTTGTCCAAGGAACACCAACTAGAGAGTGCAACTTAATGAGACAGCCGTTTAAATTGAAATATCTGAGCAATGCTGACACTCCCGCTTCCACAATTAACCTGGTATATTTTCCATGTTTTTCAAACTGTCAGTGTTCGCATTTAAATTTACTTCTGTGTTCATTGTGTTTTCTCTTGGCTGCTGTTAGATCAATAGTTTATGCAGAATTGAATAATAGATGTGTTTTTAATTATCTAAGATCTACACTCGAGAAAACATTCAAAACAATGAGTATCTAGAGTTACATTTTGAAAAGATATATTATAAATTGGGTGCTAGTTGGGGCATACTTATTATCTCATGCATTGTGCAATAGACATTCATACAACTCTCAACAGTCAGATCTCAACAGTACCTGTCTGACTGCCCACTAATCTGAGCATCATCCCTATCTCATGAGAAAATTATTTAGAACATTATCTTCACCCACACGTTATTCCTCATCACTTCTGATCTGCTAACTCTATTGTTTTGCTTCTGCAACTAAGGAAATGAAATGGAGGCAGCACGCTGTGAAATGGATGGATGGATGGATGGATGGATGGATGGATGGATGGATAGAAGAAGAGGAATGGGTGTTTTCACATTCATAAGCCAAACTTACATCTTTGAGCATGTTCATAAAGCGCGATCCAAAGCGCCAGGGTTTGTGTCGGTGGCACTGAAGCGAGCTGACAGTGATCTGGGAGGTGCGCTGCGAGGCAGCAGCCACCATATAGACAGCATCATACATCAGAGCTGCTTCGGTCTGAAAGAGAAATGCAGCCGTCAGCATCCATCAGCAGGATAACCTCATGCACTTATCACATCAGGACTGCTGATGTTCATGCACATAACCTTATGGTTTCTAAAAAAGTTCAGCTCCAGTTTCACAAAACTACTCGTACAGGCAACCACAAGCAGCCACAGAAGTGTTTCTGACTGAAATGTGGGCATTGAAGGTCTTGTGCAGCTTCCAAAAATAGACTACATGTTCAAACATTTATGTATAATATCTCAGTCATTGTGTTGAAATGTAGCAAATGGCATTCTCTGATACAATAGTATAGTTTTTAGCAAAGGTTGAAAGGCAAAGTTAGAAAATGCGAAAGATAATCAAATGTGAGTTCAACTGAACTTTGTTCCTTCTGATAGTGAGATGTTTTAAAAAACGATGTTCATTCCTTACTTTCAAAATACGTAAGCAACTGGGAGGATTTAATGATTTATTAAATTGTGCTAACTAGCTTACACACATAAACCAAATAATGACAAACTAATGCTGTTCGCCAACTTTCCTCTACTGACAAGCTCAAACTGTCCATATATTTTCCATTTATTAAATATAGAAATGATTAACTTTCAGTGTCCTTTTGAGCATGTTGCTTAAAGTACGTGAACAATCAGAAGAGCAGCAGTGGGGACATTGTTAAGACGGGCTTCCCCACTGGGCCCCTGCCCTTGGAGAACATTTGGCATGAGGAATGAAAAAAGGAAGGTGAAGTCACTCACTGTCATCATCCCCTCCATCATTCCAGTCTCAGCTTTAGAGGGAGCCTGCAGCCGCTCCATGGCCCACCTCTCCACCACCGAGGCCACCTGTGGGCTGTCTATGTTGAGCAGTCTGAAGCCCGTCATGTTGACCCCACTATAGCGGTACGGCTCCAAGTCGAGGGCAAACAGGTCCTGTAGAGGTACAACATCATCAGCAAAGAATCAATTTGATTATACTCAAAATGACCCACAAGTGGATGTAAGTTACTAAGCAAAGGCAAAGGGACTGTTGATTAAAACAGAGGAACAATATACTGCATAATACTATGGAATTATGCCAAGTGCACTGAAAACATCCAACAATCTTGTTATAAAACAAACCACAGATGTTTGAGTTCATCTGCATAATCTTTGCATAACAGAATCGCTAGGTGCCTACACACATTTCAGCTTGCGTAGGATAATAAGATACTTAATTAAGACAATAGAAAAACTGTAATTACGAGCATATCCATCAGGTTTTTCAATTAAGTTTCAGAGAGAAACTCTTTCCTGTAAATATAATGTGAAATGTTTTCTTACCAGTGTGGTGAAGAAGAAGTGGTAATATTCAGTCATCATCCCCATGGACAAGATCTAAACAGGATGAGAAATGAACGGTTCATAGTTTCCCCCCCGACTACACAATCATGTTTTTCTCCAGCCAGCATAAAATATATTTTCTTTCAACCACATCCATACCAAGAGACTTGCAAATCAGGCATTCCAGCCATTTTCTGAATTGCCTCATTTAGTTTTGTTTGCATGGTTTGGATTAACAAGTTTCCAAGTGAGTATATGTCACAATTTGCTCATGGAGGCGTAGTGTTTCCAATTAATCTTACATGCAGCTTTTGGTTTGAAATGTCGATGTCTGGCTAAAAAATAAGCTCTGATTGGATCTGGAAATGATCATAAGATTTCTAAAGGGGATAGAATTAGACTAATCTTGCACATAGGGAACATTAAACAAAAAAGCACTGAAGAAACACCAAAATAACACAGAAACTTCTCTCCACTGAAGAATTCAAATTGGATTTCAAAGAGCACGTTGTATTTTGGGTGTTAAGATGTCAATTAAACCCCGAGGCCCTCAGGACAATGACCTCTGTCCAGTGTGGTGGCAGATGTTTGGGATAATTCACCTGTTTGAGAACATCAGCTGATGTTTGGTAAGAGCAGTCAAAGATGACGTAGAACTCCTTTCCCTTCTTCATCTCCTTTAATAGAGGACGGGCATCTTTACTTCCTGTTGGCAGCTGGCGGATCTTGATTTTAATGCTGTATCTGGATGGAGCTTTGATCAACTCTTGCAAACGAATCAGTCCTTAAATTAAAAGATAGCAAAATTGTGATTAGGGTCAACAAGCAAATATTTACAAAAAACCCAAATCTGGATAGTAGGTTACTCCAAGACAGTGGAAGTAAAACTATGTGATTAAACATAATCAGATTTTGATTGTCTTTGAGTGTTTAGGTTTCATGGTTTTGAAATTGCAAAAAAATGCATCTGCTTCAGTGACTGGGTTATTAAGCTACAACTTTACACAGTGCTTTCTAAAGACATAGCTGAAGCTAACTGAGTATGAGACCAAAAAACTGCATAATCCATCTGACAACAAATCTGTCGATAAACCGAGATGTGCTCTTAGATACGATAAAATTAGATAAGATAAAATAAGAGGAGAAGGTTAATTTGATGAATGTCAATTATACTGCAGGATTAGATAGGCTACAATTATAGCACATAAAATCTAGATTATTTAGTAAAAATAGCAAAACAGCCCACAAGTTTGAGATGAGTGGACTCGAACTCCAAACCTTTATGCATGGAAACAGGTGTATCATATTTGTGTTATTTTTTATGTAGATGTGATATGCCAGCAACTATTTATCCGAGAATATGGAAAATAAAGTCCCACAGCCCGCCTGAATTTAAACTAGCAATAGGCTAATGTTGCTAATGTTTGCTTGCAAGCTCTCCCGCTCTTGGGTTGGTATTTCCATTGTTAGCAGCAAATTACTGCAAGAGACACTAAAGGAAGTAGATGATTTACGTTTCGAAGAACGAGCACAACACTTAAAGGTAGGGTAGGTAAGAATGAAGAAACCAGCTCGAGTGCGCTAGAATTTGAAAGCACGCAGCCGATAAAAATCTGCCTCTTCCTTCAGACTTCCTTACAGAGCCCTTTCTCCAACACACACGAACGCGCACATGACCAATGAGGGCACGAGATAAGTTTGTGCACAGATGGAAGGCTGACAGGCAGGTAGGCCATCCAGTTATTTTAGCCGGGCCGGCTAAAATAATTGGTTGTGCTTTTTACAGCGCTACGGCTTCCACAGATGACATTTTGTTATGTATTTATTGTCAAAGCATTTAATATATTCATTGCTATCGGGATGTTAAGAGCAGTCCATGGAATATAACAAAAAGTGTTTCTGAAGTGAATTACCTACCCTACCTTTAATATCAGCAGTTTAACTAATTTGAACATGCAGTTTCTATGACCAGAGGGCACTAAACACTAATTTCAGACAAAACGCTGGTTAGCCTTAAACTAGCCAAATAAGCTCCACCTTCTCTAACCATTAACTTGAGGATAACCTTAAGTAATTAGGTTTTCTTCGGAAAATGTGATATCCATACTTTATTACAGAATGTGTATCTTATCTAAGATGGTTTTTGCAAAAAATGTAACGTGTTCACTGCCTTCCACTGGTCACAGTGAGGAATTGCAACACATTCAATTCGGGAACGTAATCGGAACCTAATTTCCGGTTTCCAAAATAAAATAAAAAATACAATTGTAATCAGGCATGTTTGGATACTTCCTTCAACAACCACGGGAATATGGGGGTTGCGTTCAAAGCATGTGTAATTGGCATCGTGAACGCAATCAGGACTTTAATGACCGAATGAAGTAGTCTGTTTCAGACTAAACATCGCTAGCACCTGATTTTAATCAGCATCATTAGTGAAGCTAGCTAACTTGGCGATGAAGAACTCCATGGCGGGAGTTTTGACGCTGCGACCAAAACATGGAATTTATTTTCAACAGCAGGATTACAATGTGCAGTACCACCGTACAACCATGCACACTTTGAGAGAATAATATTGCTCCCGAACATGGCTGCCCATGGATTTGGTGAGGTTGCAAACACAAAGTCGAAGCAGAAAATGATCTACTAAAGGTAAGAAATAGTCTCTAGTGTGCTACAGGTTTGAGACTGTGCTTTATTAGAAATAGTTCCAAACATTTGTTATTCATCATTATCCCTTGGAAATTATTTTCATAAACTGCTATTTACATGATCTTGTGATTTTGCTGTATCATTGGTGCTCACTGAATGGTGACAGTCTGTTTCCTGTAGTTTTTCAGGGTGTAGTGTTTGTTGATTTTACTGTGACAGCCCAACATCGTTTCATGTAGGCCTATATAGGATGATTTGTCATTACAGGTTCCTATGCAGCCATTTTGGCCTGACACTGGATACTAGCCCCTTTTTCAATAGGCCCTACACATTAGGTGAGGTTGTGTCTATAGTAACTATTAATTTCAGTTCAATATGTAGGTGAATACATAAGTAAAATAGTTCTGTAGTAAATCACATTATATTTTGTATGCTGATTAAGATGGGTGGGTGCCTATAGATACATTGAGATGTCAGCAATAACATGGAAATGTATTATTATTGCTGTATTCATTTTTCTGTTCGATGTGGATGTTTGCCTGACTTGGCTCACCCTGTGCATAAAAGTGGTATGTTCCAGTCAGGTGAGTCTGACATGGTAACATGGCCTTTTAATGCAGTTGTGAGGAGTTGGCAGCTTGCTGTTAGTTGCAGTTTTCATTTGCTTTGTGTTATTTTGCTTCTGTCTAATTTAGTTTTATTGAATTTCCCAGTTTTAACTTTTGAATAATAAATTCCACTTATTTCCACTACTCCTGCTTACCGACTTTATTCTCTTAACACTCCTTTTTCAAATTTAAATCATAGGTTTAAACAACAGTAGTTTTTTTACAACTACACTTTTTGCTATTCTTTGTAAACATTTTCCATTACTTCATTGCATACTATATTTAAAGCAAAAAGCAAAAATACATACGTGTCAAAACACATTTCAAATAAAATATTACATTTAATGTTGTCCTGACCTACTGTACACATCATATTCTTTAGACTTAAAAATATGTTTTTGAGTAGTACAGATCCTCCAACACCATAGTCATTTTAAATATATTTTTCAATAATCTTGAGAATTTTTATTTTTTATTTTAGTGCTTGTTCTGTTTTAATCACTGTTGACATATTCAGCTCTGATTTGTTTTAAAGCTTTACGAGTTGGACTCACCCGTTGCATCTTCATAAACAACAGTGACCGTCTTCCACTTGTAGTACTGCACTATGTCCAGCACAGCTCGGCTTATAGAGGTGTATTCAGGATAGAGGTTAATGTAGAAGCTGTCTCTGTTGTCCACTGAGGGGTGTTTCCAGCGTGTCTGGATGTGAGGGACTTCCAGGGCGTTACATATAGACTGGACCGCGCTGACTGATGAGCTGTGAGAGGGGCCGAACACTGCCCCAACACCCAGGGCCAACTGGTCGCACGCTGACGTAATGAACCGAAAGTGGAGAGAGGAAATAACAAATGATCAACACAAGGGAAACTCATAAACAATATATTTATAACAATATATAGATTTTTCAATTGAAAAAGCTAAATAATATCCTTACCTCTTCTTGAGGCTTCAAAACTGTCATAGAGGTTTATTCTCTGGATATCATAGGTCAATGTGGTGTTTGGCATTAAGGTCCGGTTCCTGTTTATGTTGGTGACCGCAAATTTAAAGGCCAGTTCTTCAACACTAACGGGGTCATTCTCAAGAGTCTCAAAGATGCCACCTGTAGGAAGAGAAAAAACAGGGGTGGTGAGAAGGGATGTGACTTTATTTTGTCTTTCATGACAGAAAAAACTTTGTTTCTATAGGTAAATACACATCTGAGTTGACAAATATGACATGTGGGGTACCTCAAGGCTCCATCTTGGGGCCTCTTCTCTTTAACATCTACATGCTACCACTGGCTCAGATAATGAAAAACAACAAAATAAGTTACCATAGCTATGCGGATGACACACAAATTTACGTAACAATTTCACCAGGAGATTATGCTCCAATTCAAACACTGAGTAAGTGCGTTGAACAAATCAATGACTGGATGTGTCAGAACTTTCTCCAATTAAACAAAGATAAAACTGAGGTAATGGTTTTTGGAGCCAAGGCAGAACGTATAAAAGTTAGCGCTGAGCTTCAGTCTGCAATGTTCAAAACAACAGATAAAGCCAGAAATCTAGGTGTAGTCATGGACTCTGACCTGAGTTTCAACAGTCACATTAAAACAGTTACTAAATCAGCCTACTATCACCTAAAGAACATATCTAGGATTAAAGGACTAATGTCACAGCAGGATTTGGAAAAACTTGTCCATGCTTTTATCTTCAGTAGACTCGACTACTGCAATGGTGTCTTTACAGGCCTCACTAAAAAAATCTATTAGAAAGCTGCAGCTAATTCAGAACGCCGCTGCTCGAGTCCTCACTAACACTAAGAAAGTGGATCACATCACTCCTGTTCTGAAGTCCTTACACTGGCTTCCTGTGTGTCAAAGAATAGATTTCAAAATATTGTTGCTGGTTTATAAAGCTTTGAATGGTTTAGGCCCAAAATACATGTCTGACCTACTGCTACATTATGAACCATCCAGAACTCTCAGGTCTTCAGGGACTGGTCAGCTTTCTGTCCCCAGAGTCAGAACTAAACATGGTAAAGCAGCATTCAGTTATTATGCTCCAAATATCTGGAACAAACTCCCAGAAACCTGCAGGTCCGCTGCAACTCTTACTACTTTTAAATCCAGGCTGAAGACTTTTCTTTTTGCCGCTGCTTTTAATTGAACTATTCACATCTTAAACTGCACTGTAACTTTTAACTTTTATCCATGTATTTTTTCTTTTAATGTTTATTTGATTATCTTTTCTTTTTAATGACTGATTTTAAATGCCATTTTTAAAATGTCTTCCATTTTTGTAAAGCACTTTGAATTACCTTGTGTTGAAAGGTGCTATATAAATAAACTTGCCTTTCATCGCAGGTTACAATATAAAAAAACGAAATAAGTATTTAGTGGTCAATTTTCATTATTGGGATTATCGCTAATATCCTCACGAGCTGTAGCACTTGCTGTCAAAAGTTTAATAAATAGCCTGATTTAAACAAAAATACAGGAATAATCAAACTCACAATGTTTATTTTAAATATAATCTTTCTTTATGCAGGGGGGGGTTACCTTAATTAATATTGTTTCGTTGATTCTCACTAAAATAATATCTCATCATTGATGCAATCAACATATTGTTCCCTTAAAAAAATGTAAGGTGAAGTAACATTTGAAAGTCATTTAAACAGGTTTTGAGTATATTTAATACACTATTGGCATGACATTACAAATTGCAATTATTCTGACCAGGAAAATATAGTGAAATAACATTTTCATATGTTCCAGTGCCTAGCGGTGAGATTTTTAGCCAGATTTCATAGCCAACACTGAATTGATAGTAGTTTTTTGAACGATGACTTCACTAGTTATTCACCTCCTATCGTAGCGTTGCAAGGTCACAATGACTTAATACTGACAGTTGCATAATGTGGCCCAATTCTCTATGTTACTTACACCGCATAATGCTACTAAGTGACCTTCTTGAGAACACAAGATTTAATCTCATTTAGAGAAAAGCTTGACCTTTATTGAACTCACCCAATTGACATGGCCTGAATTTCATCATCTGACACCATGCCATGTGAATGATTTGTTTTGGAAGACATGCATCACCTCTAGTTCATTAAAGACCAGCTTCTCAGCTAATAAATCTAAAGACTTAACAAATCCTATAACAGATTATCATGGCAGACTTTTAAAAGCATCCCATCTCTTTTCTCTTTTCTCAACAGTATTTCAGCTTGGTTCAACTAGAAACTGCTCAACTCTTTCACCTCATACTCATATTTTAATTTTCTTTTTCAATTTACTAGACACATAAGTCTTTTTCGAATAAATCATACTTAAACCAGCTTGGGATTTATAGTATCACACAGTGAAGCCCAAAACATAATGCAATTTACTGTGAGGAGGTTAAGTGTTACTGCTGCCAACACATTGCAAATGCAAAGCTAACCTCTGAGGTGTAACTGTTTTTAAAGAAGCTGCTTCATGTTGCAGTGTAAGAAGGAACAACTCCAAATTAAGTGATGCTGCAGTAGATTAACATCATCCAACATTCTCATCCAGAAACTGCACGTTATGTATTGTAAGGCTTAACATTTTTAATTTAGTAAAACAGTTATCAGCAGTGCAAAAGGGATTTCCTGTTCATGACTGTCTCTTTAGTAATTGTTTTATGTACCAACTTGCATGCAAAAGTAGCATAACAAAGCGCTTACAACCAGGTTTAACATGGACTTTTGGAAATCTGACAGCATTATATTGTAAGTATGCAACTAATAATAATTGTAATGATTGTTGAGTTGGTATTAGCTTTTCAATTGTGGGAATAACACACATTTTAAGAAGTCTTTGGATGTCTTGTTTCACTAGCATTTTGAAATTCCAAGCATAATCAGTTTACAATAGATACAACATATTTCTCTCAATATTGAATTAACCAATCCACCTTATAATTTCAGACCAATGGTTTCAGGTTCTCAGAAGATCGTAATGTCTACCAATATCAGCGTAATTGAAAAGGTCCCTAACAGTAATCTTAAGTATCAGCCCTTATCAAGTAAGAAATTAGATATATAATTTATTTTAAATCAGCATATAAACCTGCAATTTACTGCTGCATTACCTCCCATTTCACATTTCCCACTACATAGGACTATGCGATAAACACTGACGTATGAGACCACAACTATGTAATTTAAAGTTACATTTCTCTTTTAAACACAGTCAGATTTTAGCTGGCTGTGTTTGTGTAGGGCCACACGCAGGATGAGGGTTGTTTTAGAGTTGAGATTGAGAAAATCATTTAAAAAACCGTACGAGTCTTAATCCACGGCGCTGCTCCAGAATAATGACGCGGCTAGCATGCCATGGCCTGCAATATGGATATATTACTCCAGCCGGGCTCAAGTGCAACATACAATGTTTTACATTTCAGTTACATAAAGTGCAGCATGAATAGAATGAGGATTAAGGCCAAAAATGCATTGGATTGTCACCACCATGCATATAGGGCAGCATGACTCGTGCAGTGTTCTTATCCCTGCTGAACATGTCCCTGCACTTTTATATTACCAAAGCCTTTCAGATGTAAACAGCATTCAGTGATAGGATTTCTGAAATAATACACTCAGGGTTAAATGTTTTTTCTCACTGCATTGACATTCATGAGTGCAGACAGAAACAAGGCCAGTTCAGAACAGTCAGGGCAAGTCAGTGAATTTCTTTATTCTAAACAAATCCCAAATGAACTGTCTCATGTACATGCAGTTAACCTGGAAACAAAGCCTAAAGGAATATTCTTTTAAAACCACCTGTAGTTGTAAATCAATAGTCACATTAGAAAATTGAAGATGCCATTTTTTGCTACAATAGTTTGGAAATTACCTAAAACTGAGACTGCAGATGGCAATAGGTCATTGCACTCTCTACAGTGTTTGAAGAATTGCCTGTGAAATTGTGATTGATTTGGAACAAGAAAGGGCCTTTAAAAAGCTCCCCTTGAGACCTTGATTGTGAATGACCTTTTTCTTTGCTGTAGCATGGCCTCAAACCCCAAACTGAGAGAGCCTTGTCTGCACTCCGTGGTCACTAAAAGCATGCTTGAAAGTGCCAATCCTAATTATGGTTACCAAGTCTCAGTCAGCAGCTGCTAGGCCTGTTGAAGTCCCTAACTCTCTCACTGGAATATGAATTTTTATTGCAAAATACAATAACCTTCTTGCAAATATGTTAAGAAAATGTGTTCCATCTCGGCGTCTTTTGATTTCAAGGTGTTTTTGTCATAAAAGGGGAGATGAACACAAGTCCGACCAGATGGTAGATGTTTATTTGCGTAAAGTGCAGAGGCTGCCGCAAATGTCACAGGCCTTATTAAGGATTCAACAACAAAATAATCCGAGTGGCAGCAGCATCACAGCACCATTTCCAATCAGGGGTTTGTTTGTCTCATACTTGTATGGGCTGTGAAAGGCAAAAATAGCTGCTGCAATTTAGATTTTCTCAATTGTATTTTTGTATCTGATCTCTGGTGGCGGTCATAAAAACATGCATCCATCCCGTAATGCAGCTGAAATATGTACTTTACATATCTGCAAAGTGAATTAGGCTACATGGCAAATTATTCAAATGAACAAACGATGAATAATTTAAAAAAAGCAAAGTGTGAGAACTTGAAAACTCCTTTAAAATTAAATAAATGTCTGCATTTATCAGTAGCTTTTGATCATATATTGATTAGCCAATAGAGACAATTCACTGCCTCCTCAGTGAGATATGACTTATTGACCTCATTGGCATTTCTCCAGTTGGTAGACTGGTCTATAAGCTTAGTCGTCCATAAAAACAGAACTATTAGGATCTGTCAGACAGCACCAGCATCTGATGTCGGAATATGCCGCTGTTTTTACTTGTAAGGTTTTCACTTTGAAATTGGCTATATCGTCTATTCACTCTCAAAACCTTTATTGTCAGCAAAAGACAAATATATCTATTTTATTGCACCGTTGGCTTATTCATTTCCTCTTTGAAGCTCGATAAAGGCACACCCCAGAGTGTAAGAAAACCCATTTATCTCTCCTGTCATTTCAACCTGAGATAGGATCTTAAACCTCTGCTAAAGTAGG